ATATAAAATCAATACACAAAAATCAGTTGTATTTTTATACACTAACAATGAAAAATCCAAAAAAGAAATTTAAGAAAACAATTCCATTTCCAATAGCATCAAAAAGAATAAAATACTTAGCAATAAACTTAACCAAGGAGGTGAGAGACTTGTATACTGAAAACTATAAAACATTGCTCAAAGAAATTAAAGATGACACAAATAAATGGGAAGACATCCTGTGTTCATGGATTGGAAGACTTAATATTGTTAAGATGACAATACTACCCAAAGTGGTCTACAGATTCAATGCAATCCCTATCAAAATTCCAACAGCAATTTTTGTATAAATAAAAAACCCATTGTAAAATTCATATGGAATTTCAAGGGACCCTGAAGAGCCAAAACACTCTTAAAAAAGAACTACCAAGTTGGAGGCCTCACATTTCCCGATTTCAAAACTTACTACAAAGATACAGTAATAAACAGCGTAGTACTGGCATAAGGACAGACATATTGACCCGTGGAATAGAGGCCAGAAATAAACCCTTGCATATACGGCCAAGTGATTTTTGACAACGGTGGCAAGATCATTCAATGGGGAAAGAACAGTCCTTTCAAGAAGTGGTACTGGAAAAACTGGATATCCACATACAAAAGAATGAACTTGGACCCTCACCTACACCATACACAAAAATTAACTCAAAATGGATAAAAGAACTAAATGTAAGAGCTAAAATTATAAAACTTTTAGAAGAAATCATAGAGGAAAAGCTTCATGACATTGGATTTGGTGATGATTTCTTGAATATGACACCAAAGGCATAGGCAGCAAAAGAAAAAATAGATAAATTGGATTGCAACAAAATTAAAAACTTTTGTGCAAAGGATACTATCCATAAGAGAAGACAACACACAGAATGGGAGAAAATATTTACAAATTATCTATCTGAAAAGCGATTAATATCTAGAACTTATAAAGAACTCCTACAAATAAACAACCCAATTTTAAAAAACAAACAACTCAATTTAAAAAAATGGATGAAGGACTTGAATAGACATTTATCCAAAGAAGATATACAAATGACCAATAAGCACATGAAATGATGCTTGACATCACTTATCAAGGAAATGCAAATCAAAACCACAATGTGATATCACCTCACACCAGTTGGGATGGCCACCAAACAAAAAAAAAACAAAACAGAAAATAACAAGTGTTGGCAAGAATATACAGAAACTGGAACCCTGGTGCATTGCTGGTGGGAATGTAAAGTGGTGCGGCCTTTGTGGAAAAAAGTATGGTAGTTCCTCAAAAAGTTAAACATAGAACCATATGATCCAGCAATTCCTAGTATATATCTAAGAAGAACCAAAATCAGGAACTCAGACAAATACTTGTACATCCATGTTCACAGCAGTACTCACAATAGCCAAAAGGTAGAAACAACCCAAACATCCACCAAGAGATGAACGGATAAATAAAATGTGGCATATATACACAATAGAATATTATTCAGTCTTAACAAGGAAGGAAATTCTGATGCATGCTACAAGTACATGGATGAATCTTGAAAACATTATGCTAAGTGAAATAAGCCAGATACAAAAGGACAAACCTCATATGATTGCCTTTATATGAAGTACCTAGAGCAGTCAAATTCATAAAGATATGAAGTAGAAGTTACTAGAGGCTGGGGGGGAGGGCGTGGAAATGGGGAGTTATTGTTTAATGGGTACAGAGTTTCTGTTTGGGAAGATGAAAAATTCTGGAAACGGACAGTGGTGACAGTTGCACAACACTGTGAATGTACTTAGTGTCATTTAATTGTACATTTAAAAGTGGTTAAAATGGTAAATTTTATGTTATGTGTATTTTCCACAATAAAAAAATATTTTGATAATGACGGCCATGGTTAAGAGCTTGGCAATCAAGTTATACCTATTAGAAACCTGGATCTACCACTTTTCAGCTGAATGACTTTGGGAAAATTATACTTACCCTCTGAAGACCCTTAGTTTCCTATTTTGTAAAATGAGGATATCACTACCCCACATAAAGGTTGTCATCAAGATTAACAAAAAAAAAAGTAAAATGCTGAGTTTTGGGCCTATCACGCTATCAATTCAAAAATGATGGGTTGTTATTTTAGCAGCTCTGGAGATAAACAAGGTCGTAGATCATCATAGACAACACACAAGTGAAAAGAGGTGGAAAATAGCACACACAGGGACCAGGTAACAACGGGACCTGGAAAAGGGGAGCAGCAGTCTTGGCTTTTCAACAGTTCATGAGAAACCCTCTTGAATACAGAGAATTTCTTTTACTAAAAGTTCAATATGAAGTGTGTGATACAGATGTTTAGAAAAGAGAATTCGATCTTAGGTCCCCACTGACAGTCCAATTCATCTGTGACTGCACTTCTTCTAAGAACGCTCTCTCAGAGAGATGAATAAACAAGAGTGCTTCCAAGACAGGGTTCCCAAGAGTGACGAAGGGTGGATGACAGATCCTGGCAAGATAAGTAACTGTAAGTTACTCAACAATGGAACAGGCCTCAAATACTCAAGTACAGGTTGAATAATTACATGTTACAGGTTTTACAGGAGCAATTACTGTACTGGAAGGGAGGAGGAGTGCTAGAAATAATGACTTTTAAGTCTTTAAAAATCCCTCTAAGATTCTATGATTCTGAATGTAAACTTTTAAACTTGGGATTTGGGGCAAGACAATGCTACTACATAAAGACAAATGCAGGATGCGTGCTGATTAAATGCAGGCACACAGGGAGTGCTGTTCTGGGAAAACCTCTTTGGATAACAAAATAACTTTTGAGCAAAAGCAGTAAGACAATTTCCAAAGTGTATACTTCTAATTCACAAATACATTTTAGGCAAAAAGGAAAAAACACACTGAAAAACCCACAAGCACAAATAAACCAACTTTAATAGATATTATTTTGTATTTATATAGTGCCTTCTTCAAGAACCTTAAATGCTTTACAGACATTATATCTAATTAATCCCCACAACAACCCTGTGAGGTAGGTATTACTCCCATTTTACAAGATAGGGAGACTGAAGCACAGAGAGGTTAAGTGACTTGCCCAAGGTCACACAGTTAAATTCACTGAAGAGCCAGGACCTGAGCGCCTTAGCCTCCCAGCTCCCAGTTAAATACCTCATGAGAGAATCTTTAATGAAAAGTATCTTTAAACAAAGTATCAAGAGTAGTATGTTATGAAAGTGAGGTCTCTCTACTGCCATCAAGGAAAGAAAAAACCCTATACTGATAGTTAGAGGCAACAAGACCCATATATTATACATTTTCTCTTTTTCCTTTTCCTAAAGTCTCATGGCTCCTGTCTTAAGCAATCTTCTAAAGGTAAAGTTTCCAAGACAGAAGCCATATGACTTAGAAGTGAGACTTAATTTAGAATATTTACTTTCAGTTATGATAATTTATAGAAATTTTTATTCCAATATACAATATGGGACAGCCATCCCAACAAACATGTACACAATTAGAGAGCAATCAGCCACCATTTATAACTGAAACTCGCCCCTCATTTCAATCACAGGCAACCAACAGACAAGCTCACGGTGCCTTCTATATGGGTCACTTTTCTTACTATATCTGCATTTTCTCTCCAACCCTAACCCTATATGTTTTTAAAATATACTGAGTTTCTGCTAAGCTTCGAAACATTGTACGTAGATGCAGCTGCACTAAGAGTAAAGGTCAATTGAGAACCATCACCCCAGAGTCCCTCCCCTGACAAATCATACTATTAAATACGGTGTGGATGTGAACAGTGTGTGACTACCACGGAATTCAATACAAATGCTATAACTTGCTTACTATGCAATTCAACCTTGGCTTTTACTGTATGTTTTAAATGCAAAATGTAAAAACAAACACAACATAGTTTTTTTAATGCTGTACCTTTACGCAAATGACTTCATCTTTCTTTCTTAGACATGCTGTGGCCCCCAAGGAAAAACTGACTCCCCTTCACTGTTCTCTTCTCTGTAGTGAAAGCTGCAGAAATACAGCTTTAATTCCAAGACAATTTGGTTTAAGCCCTCAAAATAAAAAATGTATCCACTTCCATGCTATGACCTTCGCACATTCTTGGTTGTGATTCCCTGTGCAATGCTGGTAGATCAGGCAGGCTACGCAACTTGTACAAAACCATTCCAGCAGGGTATGGCTTTAGAAACTATACCTTAAAGAGCAATTGGTCAAAATACATCGCAATTTTCTCGCAGCACATCTGTTCAAACAGCCCAATTAGCTAAGTGACCCTGTCAAAGATCTGTGCATGGAATGAATAGGTGAAGTCATTTCCTGAGCTAAAAGATACAGATAATAAATGTTAATAATAGCAGCAGACAAAAACATTCTTTTTTGTTGTTTTTCATATTCAACAGTATTAGTAAAATAAGTTTAGAAAATTACAGCAATTAAAAAAAATTACTGCCTGAAAAGACTTTGATAAAAGAATACCCAAGGCCTGATTGCTATTATTTTGAATATATATTCAATTATTTTCTGCAAGTTACATTTGGCCACTGTCAGACAACTTACCGATGCATGGAAAAGTGTCAAATGCACTGGTTTACACAAATTTTACATTACGTATATTACTTTTCAAAACTCCCAACAGAAAGAAGTCTTTAACAAACACAAAGTTTAACTTCTGAACATTCTTCCAGTAAGATTTATAAAGGTGGAGGAAAAAAACAAAAACTTGCTTTGTATGTTTCTGGTCTAGTTCATTAAAATTTAATCTTCGAAGGGTTTTTAGCTAGCCACCCACCACAGGCTGCTGGGGTTATGATGATTAGTTCTTTCCGGGGTAAAGAACGGCATTTGAAAATAACATGACTGCTATGACAGGAATTTTCCAAACACGGCTTCAACTTGAAACCTTGGAGTATCTGAGAATTCTAAAGACTGGTACACCACCACTGACCAGAATTTCTTTCATCATTCCAACAACTAGAGGGAATTTTTGATAGTTTTTTATTTTACTGAAATTAAAGCTGAATAAAACAACTGACTTATAAACTATAACAAAAGGACAAATATTTAGCCAGAGATATCAGTTCCTCCTGAAAAAGAATATTTACCTCCTCTCACTGCAATTTTTCTTAAGGTATCTTACAATTTAAAAGAGTTTAAAATTCACCTTAAAAATAGAAACAAACAAAAGGACTAGTTAAACGGACAAAAGCTAATAAAAATATGCTCAAATTTACTGACAGAATCATGGGCACTTCATACAATACTTAGACTCTACCAGTTTTCAGTAAAATAAATAAGGAAAAAAATTATAATTACAAAGCCAGTCTTTCCCCTTGGGGAAACAAAAAGCCACTTTTGACCAATTGTTCCCTACATATACATATACTGTATATTATTATAAGCTTCTTCAGAGAAGCAAAACATATTTGTCCTCCTGACACTGGGTTCTAGTATCTGTTAGTTTTTTACATCAGGAAGGCAATTGCAAGTGTTGGGCCCAAAAGTATTTCTGGTTTACGCCTGAAAAGACCACCGAATATTCATTCTTTCCATACATATTCAACACAGGCAAATTCATGCAGTGTGCTCAATATCATCTACCTAAATTACCAATACAACCTAGCACAGATTCCTATTCTTTCAACTGCACCCCCAAGGAGTTCAAATCATTTTTGGTGCAATTAACAAAGAGAAAATGCACGTCAATTACCGGAAGGCTGTTTTACAAGAGGAGCTGGTATCTCTGATTTCACTTCCTTGTTGTATGGAACTGCGCAGACAGCATGATACCTGAGCAAAGAAATCAACTACCATGATAGGAAGAGCCTGTTAATCCATCGTCTTTGCTTTATTGTGTGCAAAGTGTGCTACTGCCCCCTGAGCTTCCTGCATTTCTCTTTTCTTAAAAAATCGGTGCTTGATCCTTTCCAAAATAACCAGAGAAGAAATGAGGCAGAAAGTATCTCTTCATCACGGTTCCCCCTCAGTCTCGAGACTGATAGAAAAGGATGTAACCAGACTCAGAGTTCTTTGAGATATCTGATGTCAACCCGTAGAATTCTTCAATAGCTTGTGCATCTATTTTCTGTGAGGCAAAATGTAAACATTAGTACATAAATGAGCTCTTTTAACTGCTTAAATACAGCAAAATCTTGAACATTTCTTAGAATCATGCCTTTCATGTTCTCATTAATAAAACAGCTCTGCACAACCAGAATGGTGTAAATAAAAAAGATCGATAATACCAACTACTGGCAAGAATATGGGGCAAGTGCAACTCGCTTACACAGCTGGTGGGAATGTAAAATTGTACAGACACTCTGGGGAAAACGTTCAGCGTTATCTTCTAAAGTGGAACATAACAACTACCCTTTGATCCAGCAATTCTATTTCTAGGGATAGGCTGAACTATATGAAACCACTAACTGTCAACCATTTGGCGCCTACAAAAATGCCTATTTCATATAGTCCAACCTAATATACACCCAAGAAAAATGAGTGCATATGTCCAGCAAAAATGTGCACAAGGATGATCAAGGCAGTTTTGTTCACAATAGTCAATAATGGAAAAAGCCAAGTTTCTAACTTGGTATACTCATACAATGGAAAAATCACATAGCAATAAAAAGGAACTACTACTACTATAGGCAACAAGAATGAATTGCACAGATACAATGAGTGAAAAAAGCCTGCCACAAAAGAAGTCATACTGAACAAGTCCATTTATATTAAAACACAAGCAAAATTAATCATAATGATAAAAGTCAAAACAGTGGGTTCCAAGGGACAGTGTATAGAGGGGAGGAAAACTGAGGGTACTGACCAGGAAGAGGAACGGGGAGCTTGCTGGGGTGCTGGGAATGTACTATATTTTGATCTGGACAGTGGTTACAAGTCTGTGTGTATGTGTGTGCATGTGTGCATTCACATGCAAAAATTCAAGTTACTGCTTAACATCTGTGTACTTTACGGTATGTGTGTTATAGGTCAGGATATTTATTTTTTAGTAATAGAGGACTTTTTTTAAAACTAGCTCTGCTGTTTAAAGCTTTGCCTTGTTTTATTCTAAACATTTTAAAGGTTAGCTGACCATTCAAGCATTGGGATTGGATATCAAGGAGTAAGAAGTAAGAATTAGACTACAATCTGAAGACCCAGACATTTGTCTGATATTCATCACCCGTCATATATGAATGAGAAGCTGGGAGGAAAAAACAAACAGTAAAATATATACATAAACTTTGAAGAAAATAAGAAATTAAGAAACTACTTACTTCTACAATGTCGTCGTCAAACAACAACCAAAAATCATGACTCTTAACTATTGCAATATAATGGCCTCGATTGGGACCACTAAAACAGAGAAAGAAAAGTTAACTTCATACAACATTTATTATTAATATTACTCTTCTATGCCCTAAATTTCATGTTATATAAAGTAGAAAAAGTGAAACAGATGAAAATACTTCTTATCTACTCTTTCCCAAAAAAGATAAAGCTGCATTGATTTGAACTGGCATTCTATTTTAAAATCAAACAATTAGTACTCTACTTTGAGAGATATAACCAGTATTCTATTTGTATAAAACTATACTATTAAAATTCTTTCTTGTCTTAGTAATAATTTTTACATTATTATTTTTTGAAATTTTCAACTTTGCTTCTATGAAAGATTTAAATAAATTTTTCTAGCATTTTGGGGGGAGCAGGGGGGTCACAGCCAGAACGTGCTGAGTTAAACTACAAAATAATGCATGTACAATTATTTCTAAGTCTCACTCCCTTGGCAATAGTTTTTCTCTTGAGGAAAGATCCCATGTGATACTTGAAAAAGCAAAGATATCAAATCCATGGTTCTGAAATCAAGCTCGAACTTCAAAAACTTCTTTAAAAACACATGACATTTTGTTAGTATAATTAGTGCTATCTTTAAGTACCCTACTCTTAGCACCATTATAATTATAATTGCCTCTGTATCTCATTTTAAACAAATCTGGAATACAGAAATCTAGAAAGGTGTAAAAATAAAGATGGGACTACTTCTTTTAAAAGAAATTCTTTGCTTTTTAAATGACATGGAAAAGATTTTAACCTCTCCCAGTTTAAGATTGATTCATTATAAAAGCTTATATATAGTTTTTAAATTAAATTATAATTACAATTATTATAGAATTTGAAATAATTTTTAACACAAATTATTGTTTATGGTGAATACTATTTTAAAAGTAGCAACCTCAGATATTAGAATAAGCCACCTCCCATGTTTCCTATATCTCAGATCCTCTGATCCTGTGGTAGAGATGAGTATCTCACGTGACAAAAATGACACAAACACGAGTTCTTTTTCTACAGAGGGAAACACCTCAAAATTTTCCTAAAAAACAGCTTTTAGGGGCCAGCCTGGTGGCGCAGCGATTAAGTTCGTGCACTCCACTTCACTGGCCTGGGGTTCACCAGTTCAGATGCCGGGCACGGACCTATTCACCACTCATCAAGCCATGCTGAGGCAGTGTCCCATACAGAAGAGCTACAACTCTACAACTATGTTACACAACTGCGTACTAGGACTTTGGGGAGAAAAAAGAAAGGGGAAAAAAAAAAAAAAAACAGGAAGATTGGCAACAGATGTTAGCACAGGGCCAATCTTCCTCAAAAAAAAAAAGCTTTCAATGCTAAAATAAGTCCATTTTCTTCATTTCTAAGGGATTCATCTAAAGAGTCTTATGTTTTATAGTGAGAGGGTAAGAAATGAAAAAAAAATGACTTTTTTTTAAGGGAGTGAAAATAAAGAAAAATCACAGAGAGGCTGAGGAATAGAGCCCGAGAGGTAAGGAGGCAGGTGGGTTGAGGACCAGTAGGTACAAGACTGAAAAGGCGAGGCAGCTTATTCCTTTGGCAAAGAGCTAGGTTGAAGAAGGGTAGAAAAAGTTAATTACAGAAACTAATGATAAGATGAGGACTGAGGCTAAGAAACTTACACCCAAGGAAGTTGTTTATTAGGGATTTGCATTCTGACCATAAGACCCACTCAGTTCAAGACACACGATGCCTACTGTGTGCACATGACTGTGCTGGCTGCTGCCGGGACTGGAAAGACACCAGCAGTTCAGTGGATAACTACTCCAAAAACACAGGACAGGGTAAAAGAGGGTGTGAAAGCAGAGCCACAGGGGAGTCAAACGGAGGGACCTCATCCAGGGAGCGCTGAGGAATCAAGAAAGGTTGGTGACACGGTGGAGTTGGGTTCTGAGACGGGCTTAAAGGATAGTGTTTAATAATTTAGCAAACATTTGTTGGAAATCTCCTCTACGCCAGACAGCAGGGATACGAATGAGCGCACTGAACTGGCACAGACATGCTGAAAATGAGATTCCTCAACAGTCAAAGGATACGGGCAGATGTAAGCCCTCTATACTCTCATGTGAAGCATGTCTACAAATAAATCTTGCAAATAAATTGAAAAATGAGGAGAGGTTTTAAAATACTATCAGTGTTTTGTTAATGAACAAATTATTTCCTAACTTAAAAAGTGTCCATTCTCACAAAGGAAATAGACATATAAACTGATAAATAAATGTAAGACAATGCAGGCAGTACATTATGGCTAGCAATATGCATCTAGTAGTCATGTGAATTCAGAGGCACAGTCCCAAATGGAGACTGAGGCTGCAGAGAAGAGCACCAAGACAGACGTCCTGCGAAGTTTAAAAGGCACAGGAGGGGACAAGAAAAAGGCATGAGGCAGTTACAGTGAGAGCAGAGGAGGAAAGAGCAGGGAGGGGGCCTGGTTGTGATCTCAGAGTTCAAGATCTTGCAAGCAGAGCAACTCCAAAAGATCTAGCATAATTTAAGTAGAGTAAAACTGTCACTGAATTCGAGGAGGCTAAAGAATGGTAAAGTTAGGGTATGAAAAGGCAACATTATTATTGTTATTAAAACAGTAGCAGCAGCTAAGTGGTTTACATTTCCCTTTTGATCCTAACAATGGAGTGAGGTAGTTAACATTATTTACATTTTATAGAAGAGAAAACTGACATTCAGGGAGTTCTGTATGAAGTCACGCTGACCATAAATGGCAGAAATAGAACTGAAACCCAGGTTTTTCTGACTCTGGTCGGAATCACTACACCAAGTTATTTAAGTTATCTGACATTGTTTTCCTCCGTTCAGATAACTTTAGAAACAGAATGCTCCAAAAATGGAAAAGAAAGATAATTGCTGAGGATAAAAGACGGGGAGACAGGATGACACAGGCAGCAGAACGCTGGGAGGGAGAGCTGAAGATGAGAAGGCTGGGACTGTTTAGTTGGATAAACCACACTGTTAGTACAAGTTTCCCAAAACCAGGAGGAAAAGGATGAGCGCTCTGTTTTAAAATTATTGCAGGAAATTCTAAACAGCCAATGAAGACTGTATGTTCCAAATTCAAATTTTTATGTGACGCTCTGCTCTTGTAGTTTGAGAATTTTTTGAGCTACTTTATGAATTAAGATATATAGAGTGAGATATCACACAAAATTGGCTAATAGGAAATAAGATTGGTAAAATCAGAAAACTTATCTTTTTTGTGTGTGTGTGTGTGAGGAAGATTAGCACTGAGCTAACATCCATTGCCAATCCTCCTCTTTTTTCCTGAGGAAGATTGACCCTGGGCTACCATCTGTGCCCAGCTTCCGTGGGACACCACCACAGCATGGCTTGACAAGTGGTGCATCGGTCCGCGAGCGGGATCCAAACCTGCGAACCCGGCGCCGTTTAAGTAGAGCGTGCGAACTTAACTGCTACGCCACTGGACTGGCCCCAGAAAACTTATCTTTGAAGATTATTTCCAAAGCCATTTTAAATGTTTTCCACAACCATTAACATGATGAACACAATCAGTTTATCTCAGAAACAATTTATTTTGCAAAATCTATTTAGGCAGCATCATTTTTACCAATGACCAAAAAAAAAAAAAAGAAGAAAAGAAAAACTAACAGGCCTTACAGTTCTCTTAGAGTAATATTTAAATAATATGAATAAAAATCAAACCCAGACAATAATATTTTAACACACAACAGTTTTAAGGAGGAAATGATAAAATGTATTGTAACTGAAATATCCATTTTGAAATAAACTTATCTTGATACTAAAGCACTGAAGGATAAAGAACCTCTAAAAGGTCCCCATTCACATCGCTCACAAACATCCTGAATGCGCACTGCTCTGCTGACCCAAACCCTCACCACCGTGTCCCACAGTTGCAATTACCTTCCACAGTGAACCACAACGGCAACAAGGTCGTACATTCTGTCAGGATTGGTTGCATCGCCTGAAGTGTTAAATAGACGAAGTTCTAAAGGAAAAACTACCCGGTAAGAAAGTTTTGTATATCGATGAAGTTGATCCATATACTTAAATCTTTTCAGGTGTAGAGCTAGAATCATGGGCAGTTTTTTAACTTTCATCCTATTAAAATAAACATGAAAACAAAATTTTATAAAAGATATTCACTATGTCCTTAAAAGAATTATCAAACTTTATGATTCAATTAACAAATAGTTAACGGTCAGTTTTAATAGCCCAGAATTGCCCACTTTTGCACATTTAAACCAATTATTTTTATATTGGCAAAGCAACATCCTGAATGTCCTAAGACTACCCCACCCCACCCATCATCACCGAAACACACAATTTGACTCGGCACTCGATATGGCTCCAAAACAGACAGAATGGCATCAGTCCTTTGGTAAGAAACCTTTATTTCTGAAATACAGCTCTCTTATGATAAGGCTAAATGCACATGATGCCTTGATCAGTGGAGGAAAAACCAGTTCCTTAAAGCTGCTAATTCCTTTGGATGTGAGTGGAGACTGAAATCCATTTTTTCTATCAATCTATATAATTCAATAACAGACTAAGAATAGGAGACAAAGAGAAAAGCATTCAAAGACCATTCCACTAAAGGTGTTCGCCAAAGATAAGAAGTAACTCCACATTAGGAATATGACTACATGTATCCTATAAAGGAAGTAAAATAATCTGGAAATACAGCAGTTATGTTTTCAATTGTGAAACAGAGCCTATCCTTCACATTCTAAGTAATCTTTACTATGCCCTTAAATGCTCCTTCTCCCTGAGATTACCCCTGCACTCCTCCTTCAGCTAACAACAGTCTGTTCTTTACAGGCTCAGCCCGACTCCTCTACCATCTGGCACAGATACCTGTTCTCTTCAATCTTCCATCAGCACTTTACAGAATCACTTTCTATATGCAGTTTATTACACTATAAAATATTTAGATGATTATGGGTCTCTCTCTTCTTTTAGGGTCTGAACCCTTGGCAGGCAGAAATAATTTCTTTCATTTTATTTCTCCACTATCTAGCAACATGCCCAGCACATGAAGGATATTTGACAAATACTGCAGAACTAAATCCTGTATGTGTTCAGTGAAGCAAAACACTTCACATAATTTAAAAATGAAATTTACTAAGCCATTGCCTCCAATGAAGTAGAAAAAAATCATTTTATAGCATTATACTAAATCTGCGTTCCACAGATCTTGAATGTGGTGGGCAGCTTATTATTCTGGAAATATTTACTATTCTACTAACCCGGCCTTTGAAAAACATTAGCAAAAATAAACATAAACACTTAATCATTCCTGGAAAGCAATCTAGCAATACGAATTAAGAGCCTTTACCGCCTTTGCCTCAGTAATCCCGTTTCTGGAAATTAAATTAAATATATCATCTCAACTATAAGACTTCTGAGAAAAATTCACTTCTGGAGTTATTTTATATCATGAAAAACTGGGAAAATGCTAACTATTCAATAACAGGAAATGGTAAAATAAATTACAATACAAACATAACAGAATATTATACAATTTTACACAACGTTGATGATGAAAGTTTCTAAATGGCATGGGAAAATACTTATGGAAAGTAAACAAGTCAAGATAGAAAATTATATACACAATAATCCAACTATCAAACATCAGATATTCGATTAAACTCACACAGAATTGCTAAAACAAACTCTTTCAAAACAACAAAAACAAAGTATCCTTTGAAAATTTCCTGAGAAGTGTAGATCCAGAAGAATTTTCTCAGCATTAAACGAATATCAGTGTAATAGATCGCAGTCAGTTAAGATTAGGAAGAGGAGACAGACGTGGCCTGGTGGTTAGGAAAAATGTGCTTTTAGAAACTAAGCAAGAGGGGCCGGCCCCGTGGCTTAGGGGTTAAGTGCGCGCGCTCCGCTGCTGGTGGCCCCGGTTTGGATCCAGGCGCGCACCGACGCACCACTTCTCCGGCCATGCTGAGGCCGCGTCCCACATACAGCAACTAGAAGGATGTGCAGCTATGACATACAACTAACTACTGGGGCTTTGGGGAAAAAATAAATAAATAAATTAATTAATTAAAAAAAAAGAGAGAAACTAAGCAAGAGCAGAGGGGAAAAATAAGTCTAAATGGAGAAAAGAGAAAATATCTAAATGCTAGCTGATAAAACATGTTCGATCAGACATGAAAGATATGAATCCTACTGGCAGTGTTTCCTCCCAAAGGAGGAACTGTCAGCTACCACAAAGAAGCCAAATGCTTGTGGGGATAAACATGATAAAGTCAAACAAAATATTTGTGGACCTATAGTCTCAAGATGAGGAGAGATATGTTACAAAATTTTCCTTGTATTGAAATGGTCCAGGAAGAAAAGAAGAAAATTGCTTCAACACACATGCAAGGACTGTGAAATTTATTACGTAGATTTTGCAGCAGGTGAAAGAAGACTTTGATTTTCTGTTCAAAACACCAACTGTACCAATACATTGAAGAATTTATAGGATTCTGCTTTTCCTTCCATTCAAACTTGTATGGAGAGAGGTTACACTAGGGAGCTCTTGATCCATCATTGTTTTTAAAAAAGTTGTCTTAGAATGTTAATGTCTTCTACAAAAGACAAATGTGTTGAAGAAAACAATGGGAAGACAGAGAACTTTTTTTTCCTTTTTTGGTTATAAAGTTTGAATTAAACATTGATTTTTATCTTCTGTAAACTGACTTATAAATCAATTTTCTACTTACATTTTTTAATGGCATTTATCCACTACAGAAGCAATGATTAAAATTTGGATGAATTAACGTTACATATTTTCTTGCTTTTACATCTTTAAAACAATAAGTTGGGGCCGGCCCAGTCGTGCAAGTCGTTAAGTGCGCGCGTTCCGCTGCGGTGGCCCGGGGTTCGCCAGTTCGGATCCCGGGGGGGTGCACCAACACACTGCTTGGCAAGCCATGTTGTGGTGGCATCCCGTATAAAGTGGAGGAAGATGGACACAGATGCTAGCCCAGGGCCAGTCTTCCTCAGCAAAAAAGAGGAGGATTGGCAGATGTTAGCACAGGGCTGATCTCCTCACACACACACACACAAAAAACAATAAGTTATATTCATTTTGCACTCTAACTTAAGAGGTGTTTACCTTTCTTGATAATACCTAATTATAACTTAAAAGTATAAAAAAAAGTAGAAGGGGGGCCAGCCCAGTGGCATAGTGGTTGACTTCACACGCTCTGCTTCAGTGGCCCAGGGTTCGTGGACCTACACACTGCTGGTTAAGCCATGCTCTGGTGGCATCCCACATACAAAATAGAGGAAGATTGGCATGGATGTTAACCAGGGCCAGTATTCTTCAAGCAAAAAGAGGAAGATTGGCAACAGATGTTTGCTCAGGGCCAATTTTCCTCACCAAAAAAAACCCAAAAAGTAGGATGGAAAAAGACATAAATACTAAAAAGGCAGCTGGCTTTGTCTGATACTAATATCAGACAAAGTAGACTTCAAGACAAGGAATATTACTAGAGATAAAGAGAGAGATTTCATAACAAAGTGGGCCAATTAATCAAGAAAACATAATCTTAGGGCCGGCCCCATGGCTTAGCAGTTAAGTGCGCGCGCTCTGCTACTGGCGGCCTGGGGTTCAGATCCCAGGTGCGCACCGACGCACCGCTTCTCCAGCCATGCTGAGGCCGCGTCCCACATACAGCAACTAGAAGGATGTGCAACTATGACATACAACTATCTGCTGGGGCTTTGGGGAAAAAAAGGAGGAAGATTGGCAATAGATGTTAGCTCAGAGCCAGTCTTCCTCAGCAAAAAGAGGAGGATTAGCATGGATGTTAGCTCAGGGCTGATCTCCCTCACAAAAAAAAAAGAAAGAAAAGGAATTGTCTAAAAAAAAAGAAAACATAATCTTAAAAGTCTATGCTCCAAATATCAAAGATTCAAAATTTGATAGAATTAAAGAAATAAACAGATAAACACAAAGAGTTGAAGTCTTTAACAGACGTCTCTCACTAACAAAAAAATCAGTAAGAATAGGGAAGATACAAACAATCAAATTGTGGGTCTAATTGATATTTACGGAACACTCCATCTCAAACAGCAGAACGTGCATTCTTCTCAAGTACAACTGGGACATTCACCAACGTACTGGACAATGTAAGAAGTCTCAATAAATTCCAAAAGACTGAAACTACACGGTATGTTCTGTGACAAAAATAAAAAACAAAAAATATCCAGAAAACCACCAAAATATGGAAACTAAGCAACATACTTCAAATAATCCATGGGACAAAGAGAAAATCACAAGGGAAATTAGAATAGATTTTGAAATGGATGATAATGTAAATACAACATGTCAAAATTTGTGGGAATACAGCCAAAGCAGCATTTAGAGGTAAATTTATAGCTTTAAAATGTTCATATTATAAAAGAAAAAGGGTTTAAAATCGATAACCTAAGTCTCCAACTTAAGAAGCTAGGAAAAAAATGGCTAATGAAACCCAAAGCAAGCAGAAATAATAAAATAATAGAAAAGAAGAGAAATCAACAAAATAGAAAACAAAAACAATAGAGCATTTAAAGCTATAAACTTCTAGCAAGGCTAATCAAGGAAAAAGAAAGAGAAAACACAAGTAGTCAATATAAGAAATCAAAGATGGGCTATTACTAGACTCTACAGACACTGAAAGGATAGTGAAGCACCATGGGTACCACCCAGTAATAGAAAGGAACAAACAACTGACACATGCAATGACGAACAGGCCTCAGGGGATTATGTTGAGTGAAGAAAGCCAATCTCAAAAGGTCATATACTGCATGATTCCATTTATAGAACATTCTCAAAATGACAAAATTGCAGAGATGGAAGGGACACTAGTGTTAGGAATGGGAGCAGCAGGGTGTTGTGTGTGCCTATGTATCAGGCACAGGGGAGATCACGCACAAGGGAGACAGGAAAGTTCTGTACCTTTACTGTTGTGGTGTTACACAAATCTACATATGATACAATTGACAGAACTACATAGACATAGACACACACACACACACACGAGTACATGTAAAACTGGTGAAATCTGAATAAGTCTACGGATTGCATGAATGCCAATTTCCTGGCCTTG